AACTCATCATTCATAATTTCAGTAGCTACTACGTATGAAAATATGTTATCGACAATAGTTGTTTCACGATCCCACATTTCTTTACTATGAGCATAGTTTATATAAATTTCTTCATTTCTATGCTCTTGCATTCCTTCACGGGTTTGTTCCTCTTCAGGGGTTTTTGTCCATTCAGGGACTGTTAACTCTTCTAGAGTTAGTTTAGAAAATGTATAATTGTCTATTATTCCAATATTGTCAATATTGGTACCTATTTGATTATGTGCCTTTCGTTTCCTAGGAACAATATCCTTGGCTCCAATAGGCCTACCACGCTTCTGGTGTGTAATAGATGAATTAATCGTTGCCCATATGGATTGTTCATTGGTAACATCAATCCTTGCTAGTTTATTGACAGCAGGAATGTATGATCTCGTTATTTTTGCTACATCCGTAAATGCATCAGACATTTGGCTAACAATATTTTGCAAATGTGTTATTCTTTGTACTTTAATTTCAGATTAAGATGTGCGAGGATCTAATGAGACTTAGAATTTACTTTTCAAGAAATTTCAGGCCTTACTTCAGAAGGCTTTACCTTTCCTCTTAAAGGAGGAAATATTGTCTCATCAAAATGGTAATCCACAAAACGTGTGGTAAACACATCACCCATCAAGGGCTCAACATATCTGATGATAGATGGTGAGTCATAGCCAATATATATTCCCAAACAACGTTGGGGTCTCATTTTGGTGTGTTGAGGGGGCACAATTGGAACTTGCATAGCACAACCAAAAGTTCTTAAACGGGATATATTAGGCTGGTGTTCAAATACAAGTTGTATTGGAGAGTACTGATGATATGAAGTGGGTCTTAGGCGAATTAACGCTATAGCATATAAAACAGCATGAGCCTAGGCAGAAGTCAGTAATTGCGTACGTAGTAGTAAAGTTCTTGCAATTAATTGGATAAGCTTTATAAATGACTCTACCATACCATTCTAGGTATGTACATGTGGTACTGGGTGCTCAACATCAATTCTCATTGCTGTGCAATAGTCATCAAATGTCTTTGAAGTAAACTCACCAGCATTGTCCATACGTATTGCTTTGATTGGGTAATCTGGAAAGTGTGCCTGTAATCTAATAATTTGTGCCAACAATCTAGCAAAGGCAGCATTACAAGTTGATAGTAGACAAACATGTGACCATCGTGCCGATGCGTCAATCAGTACCATAAAGTAGCGAAAAGGTCTATTTGGTGGATGAATAGGTCCACATATGTCCTCATAAATTCTTTGTAAAAATGATGGGGGTTCTAGACCAACTTTAGTGATGGATGACTTAAGTGCCAATTTGTCTTGTGAGCAAGCAATACAAGTACTCTCATTAGGTGATAGAATCTTCAGGTTCTTTAATGGGTGACCGTAATAGTTTTCTATGATTCTACGCATCATAGTGGATCTTGGGTGACCAAGACGATCGTGCCAAATCTTAAAAAGTTAAAGATCAGTGAACATCTAGTTCATAACTGCATAAACTTCAACATTCTTCAGGAATGTGTAATATAACTTGGATGAGAAAGCAGGGAGTTTCTCCAGTACGTGCTTCTGCCATGAAACATTAGCAATGATGCATAGAAACTCTCCATCCTTTTCACTTTAAGTTTCAATTTAGTATCCATTGAGTCGTATATCTTTGAAACTAAGCAAATTTCTTTTGGATTTCCTAGAATATAAAGTATCATGGATACTTAATTTAGTTCCGCTTGGTAACAAGAGTGTTGCTCTTTCAGAGCCCTCAATTATGTTTACAGACCCTGATATGGTATTTACTTTAGCTTCAGTAAATATCAAATTTGAAAAATATTTTCTATCCCGAAGGATGGTGTGCGTCATTGCACTGTCTACTATACAAATGTCTCCATCATTACTGGATATCGATGTTTCATTTTTGAATTTCATCCTTTAAAGAATTTTTTTTTTTTTTTTTACATTAGTCAGGATGTTTACATAACTTAAGGGGGTATAAACAAGACAAAAATATTCATAAAAAATACATAGTTCAAAAACATGACAAAAGTTACATAAGTCTTGGAAATCACAGGCATTTTTATAACTACTCTAATATTCCATATCGGCATCTCCAAAGAAATCTGAGACATTAAGGCTAGTCGGATCGGAATTATCAATATGATTTGACTCAGGGGCATCAGTTAGATTTGTCTCTATCTTTTTGTTCTTAATCGATATTTGATACAATTCCACCAAGTGCTTGGGCGTACGGTAGGTACATGACCAATGGCCCTTTCCTCCACATCTATAGCAGTTGTTTTCATTATTCTTGTTCTGTGAAAGGCTTCTTTCATTTTTTTTGATTCAGTCTTGCTCCACTTCAGTTGGTGCGACTGAAATTTCTTGTTATGACCACCTCTAAGTCGATAGTTTTTTTGCCCATGACCTCAACTTGGACCCCGCCCATGCCCACGATTATTACTGCTAGTTATTGCGTTCACTTAGGGGAACAGTTGGGAACCAGTGGGGTGAGTTTGGTGGTTTCTTAGCAACAATTCATTATTTTGTTCAGCCACAAGTAAAGAAGAAATTAATTCAGAATATTTCTTAAAGTTATGCTCCATATATTATTGCTGTAGGAGCATATTTGAGGGGTGGAAATTGGAAATCATTGTTTTAAAACCCGGACCGGAGGGCAATCCGTTTTGCTGTCTGGGTCACGGGTCAATTGGTCCAACCGGTTGGATCAATGACGTTAGCGACAATTTTTTTTAATAAAATTCCATGTTAATCCCTTAAATTTTAATATATTACAAAAATTCCCTTTAAAAAGTTCAAAGTAGTTCCTAAAATTTTTATTTATTTCAAAAATGCCCCCAAAAAAATTACCAATTAATCCTGAAACTTTTGACATATCTCTAAAACACCCTTATAAAATTACAAATTAATCCTTATAATTTTGAAATATTACAAAAACCCCCCTAAGACCTGAACCAGACCGGAGAAGCTACCGGATCCCGGTCGGACCAATTCAGTTTTTAAAACAAAGGTGGAAAGTGGAGAATGTTTTTTCCAACATATTTTCTTCAGTTATTTTCTCTTCACATGTTCTTAATTTAGAGACAATCCCAAATAAAGTAGAATTATATTCACTGATAGATTTATAGTCCTGTAGACGTAAATGAGTCCAATCATATTGAGCAATTGGGAGTATTACTGATTTGTTATATTCAAATCTCTCCATCAAATTCGTCCACAATTAGAGTGGATCTTTTATATCCTTATACTCAACCCGTAGCCCTTCTTGGATATGATGCCGAAGGAAAATAGTTGCCTTTGATTTGTCCTGTAGGGACGTCATGTTTCCTTCCTTAATGACTTCACCTAGTTTCATAGATTCCAGATGGAGAGTAGTGTCTAGGGTCCATTCATCATAGTTTTTTCCATCTAGTCTTTGGGCCTCATATTGGAGCTTCACAAGGTTCGACATTTCCAAGAACTATTCATTAATAAGAGTAATGTAATTAGTTTCGCATCTTCTGGATGCATGTCATGGGATGCATTCAGACATCCAAAACTAACAAATGAAATATAAAATGTGATAATTGTAAAGAATCGATAAATAAAACGACAATTATAAATAGATCCGTCCATGAAGACGGTATTTAGCAATAATAAATAGATCTGATCGTAGAGGCGAAATTTAACAGTAATAAATAAATCCGACCATAGAGGCAGAATTTAACAGTAATAAGTAAATCCGACCATGAAGGCAAAATTTAACAGTAATAAATAAATCCGACCATGGAGGCGGAATTTAGTAGTAATAAGTAAATCCGACCATGGAGGCAGAGTTTAATAATAATGAATAAATCCAGCCATAAAGACAGAAACAGAGATTAAAGAACACATGTGGGAATTTAAATACGTGCAATTTAATTATAATAAATAAATCCAATAAAATAATTAATTAATTAACAAATTAATTCCCATTTGTTGAAGGAAAGTTTATAGTTTTGAATCTTTTGATAAACTATCTAATACTTAGTGAATATATTAAATAAAAATAAAATAAAATAATTAATTAATTAATTAATTTTTTGTTTAATTAAACTTATTCATGTACTGTAACTTCGGCTAATATTTTTAAGTGATATATAATATATTTGCAAATCAAAATTTGCAACTTCTCGTTACAACTCAAGTTACAAATTTTGCAGTGCATCTATCATAAGAAAATTTGTAATTTGCAGTACCTTTATCACAAGAACAAATTTACCAACATAACACATGTATTCATTCTTCTTCAAATTAAATTAAATTAAAAAACAATTGAATGATAAAATAGTAAATTAAAAAAACAGTTAAAGGATAATTATATAAACTTAGAAAAAAAACATCCTAAACCTTAAACCCTTTTACTTTCTTCCCACCCCACCGCCCAAAAATTCTCCTCCCCCACCAATTGGCTGAAATCACAACCGGCCTAGTGCGATTTAAGCGAGATCGCACCTGGCCAGATGTGATTCCAGCCGAATAACACTCGGAGAGAGAAAATTTTTCTCTCAACTTCTTGGCTGCAGTGGGCGCCGCTGCCAACGTTTCTTGCCACTTGTTTGGCGACCATCTACAGCCCTCCCTTTCCCCATTTTCTCAAAATCCAGCATGTTAGCCGGGCAACACAGACAACCACATACAAAGTGCCCGATTTTCTCAAACATTAAGCTTAAAAGAGGTCATACTCAGGAGGCTATACACACAAACGAAGGAAAAGCAGTACCCTCTTTAGATGGTCATGAGATCTCTTACTCTTTATACCCACATTCTATCATACGGCTACACAAATTAAAATTCTTTACCAAAGTATATATCAGCATATAAGCACTTGGGCGAAGGCTGCATTTTTTTTCTTCTAACTACAGATTTTATAGTAAAATTAAATATGAGATGAAGTGACAAAAGTAGACTAGAAGATCACCAAGAGAAGCAAAACCCAATGGAAAGCTGACCACAGGTATACTCAAAAATGCATATTTACATCCTCAATTTAACAAGCCATTCCTTGTAACAAACATTCTCTCTGTTGAAAAATGAAACTAAAGCTCCTATACAATTAATATGTGCTTACAAGCGAATAAAGAATCCTGAAACTCTTTCACTGCTGAAGCCCAAATTGAAGCGGCAAAAACTCATATTAACAAAATTTGAAACAATAGATTAAAACTGAACAAACTTGACATCCTCACTGTTGATCATTGCTAGTTAAACAAACTAAAGCAGTGGAGTTTCCCTCTTCACCATCATCTGAAACATTAACAGTGGCTTCTTTCTGAGTCAAAAAACAGGGAAAAAAACTATATTAGACAAATAGAAATATACAAAAAAGAAACCACCAAGACTTAAATCAAATTGCAAAAAACCTTAGATTATAAACTGCAGAAACAATTTAACCTTCCAAAGTCAATTATATGCAAAAAAAAATCAACTTCTCTCTGTTACTTCTTTTTTCTTTTGGATTGGCAAGATATGATCCTAATCCAACTGAATACAAGCCCAGCGATAAAAAATTGAGTTCATAAAACCAAAACGCAACCTTTGTCCACCATCAAAAACTCAATAGAGACGCTTCTATTAATATCAGTTAAAAGTTTTAGTGCTCAGAATCACTGTATAAATTATTTTCATGTGCTATTTTTAGCCATTAAGCCCTTCCATTATTTCTACTCTAAGTAGTCGGTACAGTAATTTTACTCATTATCCCTAATGACGAATTAAGAGGGGAAAAAAACTGCCTGCCACATATATAAATAACAAAAAACTGCAAATTAAAATAAAATAAAAGACACACTTCCTATCTCTATTTCAAGTGCCACAGTTACATATAGCAATAAGAAGCTCTTCCAGTAAAACTGGAAACAATAATCAGATACACACACACCAAATCCTTTATAGTGACACATTTCAGGAGATAAGCATACCTTTTTATTTAGACCCTGTGCAGTCATAAGCTCATAAAATTTACGCATCAACATCTCTTCCTCAACCTACAAATCAATAAATATGAAATTTTAGTGCAGCCTTTGATTGCATAAAATTATGGTGCAATGTAATTGTCTCTTTAAATTTGTAATTGGAGTGGAGCCTCAAAAATTCTCTTCTAACATAATTATTTTTCCACATAAAGACCAAAAAATGAAGATGGAAAATCAGTCTAAAAAATTAGAAGCTCAACCACAGCTATCTATATTTGTTTGCATTAAGACTGCTTCAGTTTAGCAGCCATCAAATGACAAGGCTTATCAAAACTCAAGAACAGAGTACTAGAAAAGAACCTGAAGTTCATGCAATTCATGAGACATTGATCCGTGGACCTCAGTAAGAAGCTCATTCTGTTTCTCCAAATGCCTGCACACATAAAAACAAAAAAATAAATGTAACTCAAACAGATTTCTATATTTTATAAAATTCAAAACAAATATAAATAGACTTACTTCAATATTTCTCCAGTGTAACGTGGATCCATGGTATAATGTCGAACTGTGTCGTTGAAATTGAACTAACTGAACCAAGCTTTGTTACGAAGGTGACGAGATTCAATCTGCACGGTAAGTAAAGCATATAAAAGTAAGCATAATCTAATCATACAAAATTACGATTAAATAAAAAATCCACAGGTCCAGTGAAAATTTCTAAACCATATTATGAACTCGCAAAACCCTAATGATAAACATAAAGAAAACTAATTCCTTAAGACAATTACTATCAAGATTCCAAGATGTTTAAAAGTAAATAAGTAACGCAGTTTTCCCTAAATACAGTTAGATTTGAATCGCAGTCCACAACCATCACATTCATGAATTTCATCGAGCATCATATAGGCGTCCAATAACTATACAAAATACCTTTTCTGAATGGGCATCAATCAACGGAACTCACCAGAAATTGGAAATATTGTAAGCAAAACTCAATGCCGCAAACGAAAGTGGTCAAAACAAAAACAAATAAACAAGAATGCTAAATACGAGTATAAATCAACCTGATGCAGCGGGAAGTTGTTGAAATCTTGACGGTGATTTTGTGGGCTGATTGGTCAGGTCGTATTTGCCTCTTTTATCTTTCTTATTGAGGCCTAATATATATCTGTATCAGGATTCAGGAATGGGACGGCAGGCCATGTATCTATTTTGAAGTTATTGTGTGATCATAGGCCTAGTCAATTTAATGGGCCTTTATCCCACATTTCAGAGAGTGCTATAAACACACCGAACTTTTACTAAGTACCCACAGAAAATGTCAACCAACGCAACTTAGTTCATATTACTTGACAGAAATGTGCTTGCTCACTGGCTTTAGCACTGGTTATCTGTTTCTTCTAATCTTGTCCTGTGCCTTTATGTGTTAGTAGACACTTGAAAATAAACTAAAAATTTTCATAGAGTGAGCATTTACTTACCACCTCAATGAATTCAAATAAAAGTCATAATTTGATTATAGGATCTTATGATCTCTTGGCATGTAGAAACTAAGAGAACTTTTAGCTTAATATAGTTTTTCATTCTTGATGGGTCTGGAGTTTTGAAAGAATGTTATATAACTTCTAGCACACATTGTTTTAACTCTGATTTTGACATTACGTGATGGAGGACAAAGGATAATTTTATTCAATAGAATAGGAATTTCATTCTGCAAATGCTTTAGTATATATGGATATTCTTGTTGTAGGAAGCAGAAAACAGACAAGAAAAAGCATTTTGCTGTGGATGTAAGGTCGATGAATAATATACTATGACAAGATATACAAGTTAAATAAAGAGAATAGAATTTAAGTGTTGAGGAACATTATATATATATATAGATGGTGCAATATGTTTTATTCTTTTTCTTTTCTTGTAAGCCATCGGTATGTGATTGTATGCCTAATTTATGACTGGTGAAGCAGAAATCCCTTCACAGGATTTTCATTATGCAAATGTGCTTTAAAAGAAATCAATATTCTTCTTGTAGAAAACAGAAAATAGAAAACAATTAAAAAGCTGAAGATGTGAGGTGGATGAATAATATTCTACTATAACTATTTAAAAAGAAAAAGAAAAAAACAGAAAGGGAATAGATTTAAAGTGTTGGTGAACATTATATTTATAATATTACATATATCAAGAACTTTCCTTTCATACGTATAAATTGTTTTATTCTTTTTCTTTTCTTCTAAGCCATCAGCTATGTGATTGCATGAATACGAAAAATGACTGGTTGAAGCAAAACACTGATCAACTTTCACTCGACATCTTTTTACAGATTCCATTTATTCACAAGAGAAATAAAGATCAATGCATAACACAACCCAAGCAGCATCTAGCAGTAGGAATCTCCAGTATGACTCAGAAGAAAAAAAAAAAAAAAAAAATATGGTGAATGATGGATGATGATGGAACACTGAGCCCATATGCTTCACGGTTGTTTTGTTTTGTTCCTCTCATGCAAAAGCCTGCATGAATAGCAGCACCAAAGGTTTAGATTATTCATTCAGAATGGGAATCATCAACAGTAAGAAATTAAAGCACCTAATTTATGAAGCTCTAGCGCATGGGCATGGGCATGGCTGATACCCTTCTTCCATCACCATTTGTCATGATATGCATCATTAGATTCTTACGTGTGATATTTTCTTTTGCTTTCTTCTATTGATTCTCAGAATTCATGTGACCGAGTGAGGGGGGCCATCATGAGTTTATGTACTTTGTTATACAGCAACACCATGCATGTTCATTATTCTGGTTGGATGCATTGCCACTTTGAAGAATATATATTAAACCACTTTTAGCCATTAAAGCTTTAAACAATGCATCGTTCTCGAAAGAAGAAAGCCTAACTCTTCGGAAATGGTCCATATGGACCACCCAGTTTACTAAGCAATAATTCTTCGTAGATTATGATTAGGTTACATGCATCTATCATATCATCAAAAATAAATGGTGGGCTCTGGTTTAATTATATATACATTTTTGCTAATTAGTAATCGCCTAACTGCTAAATCATGCCATAATCACAGCAATATTGTGTATGAATCATTCAACCACACGCAAACAGTTTCCTCTTTTCGCTCGTGATTTTGTTGATTTATTTAGGGTGTCTTAGGCAGTATTTTAAATGTCATTTTAATAAGTTCTAAAGCATCTATAAAGCAAAATCGATTGCGGCAAATAAGTATTCTTAAATCAAAACAACTTTTTTTTTCCTTTTATCATTTCCTCCCGATTTCATATGGATATGAATATATATACAACTGTGTTTGAGAATATATTTTTTTTGAATGATTGGGCTGGCCAACTTACGCATATTTTTATTAATCCCAAAAATTTATTGTGAATCACAAATGTGATAAGTGGTCCCAAGATTCGAAACTAATAAGCTAATAAAGAGAATAATATTCTTGACTGACCCTTTGAGATTGTATTTGAGAAATTAATCTCTTTAGAATTCCAAGGATTGTATTTGAGAAATTAATCTCCTTAGCATTCTAATTTTCATTAAAGATTTTGTAATTTAGAATTCAGCTCAATAAATTGAAAAATAATTCAAAATTAAATTCTTGTGTGATGTGTGATTATAGTAGTCTTTATTGTGTACAGAATTACTTTAGAATGGAAACCACACCGATACACTATATAATTTTTCTGAGGGAAATAATTAATGAAAAAAGAAAAAAGAAAAAGGGCAGGTCAATTTCTTGCAAATTCATTGAAGCCGAATACGAAGATTTGAGCTTTAACTATCAAAATTAATCTTTTCTGAAGGCTGTCAGAGGAGATCTTTTGCTTTTTAAGTTATCACTTCAAAATATTGACCAACAGTCCAACATGATGAGTTCATCTCAGTCTCTCTATATTTTACTTCATAGCTTCCTGATGCTTTTAACCATGACACTTGAGAATCTGAGGCCACGTGCTTTGCCATAATTACTTCATTTCTAGGAAATTAATTATACAATAATGCCTCCTCTTATTGATCTCTTTCGAATCGATTGCAAATAAATTAGTATACGGAAACCACCGTTTGGATGTCACCACTTAATAGAGTAAAAAGAGTTTTCATAAATTTTTTAATTTGAATTCTCACAAATATTAATAGAAATGATTAGTGAGAGGTTTATTTAGTCATTAATTTTAAGATATTAGAATATTAATTAAGATACACATAAACTAGTTTAGATAATCTCATTAAAAAAAAAAAAAAAAAAAACTAATATAGGATCAATTGTAAATTGCTAAATATATTCATTAATTTCTTTAGAAAAATAAAAATAAAAACCCTGATTTAGTGTGTTATGAAAATGACATGTACAATAACTCTACTTGAAATATTGATTCAAATCAAACATGATAAAATAGTCTTTTAATTATTTAAAGGAACTTTTTGTTTTATAATACTAAATGAATGCACTCTTAAAAGATTTAAAATCTCTTTAAATATATATCTCCATTGAAAGGAATTCAATATTCAGAAGTGCGGATGAGTAATAAGGCCAAAGAGTGAAGCAAATGGTGGTATCCTCAAAATCAGGAAATTTCCCATTTAGATATAAAAAAAAGATAACGTGTTGATAAAGTATCAGATAATGTTGTTCTTCTTCACCAACAAAACCACATGGTATGGCTCTAAGTTGACATAGGCCAAACACAAAATGTCATTAACACGATCCTTCAACAGTGCCCACATATTTACAAAGCTTGTGGGTATTCCCTTCCCTTCAGATGCTAAACCTCTCCATCTTCACAATGTAGGACCTTTCAGTCTCCACAACCACAACACCTCTTGTGCTTCGCTACTCTGACACTAATGAGCCCTTTGACTTCAAAAATGGATTATTTCCTCTCAAGACAAATGAAGTTAACTCACTGTAACTTGAAAAATGTCTTCCCAAAAGAAGAGAGAAGAACCCTGTGTAATATTTTAATTAATGAGGCCTGACATTTCTTCAAGTATAATCAGTCTCATCATGCATTGATTCTATTTCTACAGGACCAGTTTTCTTTAATGAATTAACAAATCTGCATCAGGTGTGCAGCCTAAAAAAACTTAATAAGGAGTGAAGAGATTCTTGATGCAAATTAATATTAATAAAACTGAGCATTATCATGGGGATGTGTTATTTAAGGGGGAGAATATGATAAAACCTAAGTGATTGAAATTTCTAGTGTCATTGGAGAGAGTGGATTGGAGCATTGCATGTGAGGTGAACAGAAAAGATTGGATAAGAGTAAGTGTTGTGGTCACAATTTGTCCACAACCAGAGAAGTGAGACTTCATTGTTTTGATTGGACTAATTAATTACTAAACAATTCAACAATAAAATTATTAATTGACGTTTTTATTATTTAATCTCACTCTAATGCATTGGATACCTACTCCTTCAATCTTTGTAATTTTACAAATACTGATGAATTTACTAATTAATTCGGTAACGTCATCAATATGATATTAACTAATTACTAAACACATCATGCAAAAAACAAAAAAAAAGGGTCATTATTTATTCTTATTTTTATTATTCAGAGTATTCAACCAGTTTGCATGTGCGCACTTCATCTATCTCCAAGGTTTTGAACACTATAAAAACTCAAAGAATTAATAAGCCGTAATTATTGTGGAGGTGGTTTCAAGTTTATTACAAAAAACTCAAAAAGTGTGCCAACCCCTTAGAATTTAAAAAGGGTTTGAATGAACAATTCATAAAAAACATAAAAGAATTTGCAGGAACTATTGTGATTTTAAAGAAGGTTTTATTCAGGTTATTTCATAGTTCGTATTCTTACTGATAAATACACATTCATGCCTTACTTTACACTTTTTTTTCGGCACCTTGTTCCTTATCGAAATATTTATATGTTATATTTAGGAGATGTTTAAAATAGGATTCTAAAAATAGAATATTAAGAATAATATTTTTACAAAAACAGGAGATGCCCTAGTTGACGAGTGATATATTTTGAATCACCCGAAATTAAAAAGATTAACAAAACAGATTTGGAGACAAGCAGAATATTAAAAACTTTGGTTTTTGTCCTCTACTCCTTAAAGATGTCAACTATAACTTTTGGTCCAATGTAGTTAGAAACTAAAAGATTTATCTCATATTAAGAGTGGTAATAATAGTTTCAGAAGAATGTTGAATTTAATGGTTTAAGGAGATAATTTTAATTAATGTGAAAATATGAGTTTTATATTTATAGAAAAGTGGCCTAGTTATAAAGTGAAAGGGCATGTGAAATGCAGAATCTAGTGAAGAGGCATGATGATCTTGATTGAAATCACGAGTTAAGAAAACAAGAGAGAAATGAATAAAAAAATAATTAAAAAAGTGAGATGGAAGGCATTATTATCAAAGTACGAGAGGGAAATGGATAGGTCGTTTTCTGGTACACAGGCGGTGTTCGGTAGAATCACTCACAAAAATTTATTTTAAAAAAAAAAAAAAACCAAGGTAAAGTGAGTGAGTCAGTTTGTATAACATAAGGGGAGCACCAAAGTTATGCCTTGTCAGAATTGGCGTGCATTTACATTGTAATTGTAATTGTAATCTTATTCAGAGTTTCTTTGCTTTTGTGGGGGCCTCTCCCTCATCTCTTAATTCTTCTTTACTTGCTTTCTTGTTGGAGCTTTTTGTGCAAGTAAACAGTTTTATTGTTGTAGTAAAACGAAGCAAAAACCAATTAATAAAGGAGAGATTTATAGGTGGTATTGTAATAGTAGTGGTGGTGGTGGGGGCGGTGGTGCTGATTCAAAGCTGAGAAAGAGAACATTCTGGGCTTTGGCTTTATTTGATTGTGTAGATGTGGTGGCTATCAAAAGATGAGGAACAGCTCATCTTTCTGAAATCTTGCTCTTTTTCTTTTGGGTTTTTGTTGGGTGGTTCTTGTGTTTTGTGGGGTTAGGCTTTTGGCTATTCTTTTACCTCCTGTGTTTATGCATGCTCCTAACATAACAATAACATTGTCATTCATACGGATTTTTGATTCTTTGTACTTGTTAAACCGATCATACTCCATACCCACTTTACTTGCTTTATAACGTTCTAACACCCTTGTAGAGTCCAAACCATTTCCAGGTATGCTTCATAAATCAATCAATACCTTTCATTTTATATTCTTAGAGTGAATTGAGTTAAACTTCTTCAAGTTTTGATGGTCTATTTAAATTTTTCTGCTTTTGAATTTTGTTAGCTGGTTCTGATTTGGTTTGTTATGCTTTCATTTGAGGTGGGTTTTAGTTGTTTTCGTATTTATGATTTATTTTTTTATTTGTTCTATCTGAGCATGAGTTGGCTACGGGCTACCACTTGGGTTGGAGTTAGTCTTGTAGCGGTGATTTTGTTGATGTGATATCATTTTGTGTTGTTAGGTTTGTTTAACATCTTACATGTGGTGTGAAATTACACGAGGAGATTTTTATTGGGTTGTGTTTTCAAGCTGAGCATGAGTTTTTGTTGATTGATTTTTAATGCTTTGTTTGGTGAAAAAACTGGGGATGTTCTTGAATTCATTTCTGTGTCAAAATCCGAGTTTGATTCTGATAAATTTAATAACACTATTCGCTACTTTCTTGCAACAACTTTGTTGGTATTGATGTTCTCTTGCATAATCTTCCTTTTGGAAACCTCCAAAATTGATGCTTATTGCCAACCATTTTGGTAGTTTCTTCAACTCATATCGAAATATGCTGTTTTTTTTTGTTGCAGGAGTTGTAAGGAGCAAAGTTGAAAGAAGATTTTGTATTGTAAAGGAATGTATCTGTGTTTTGGGTTTTGAAACTTTGTGGACCAGAAAAGGTCTCCGTAGTGTGTGATTCTTTGAAAAAAGAAAACAAAGAAAGAGAGAATTGAATAGATAAACAAATACGTTAAGGGCGGTGGTGTCAGTTTTGAGCAAGTGGGGGTGTCTCTGGTCATGAAAATCATTTATGTTTTGAGAGTCTTTAGGTAATGTCTCCTTCACTTGACCCTCTTTGCCCGGGCTCCGTGGCCTCTGTTACCAATAGAGGAACCAACCACTTCTTTCAGTCCCTTCCCATTTAAGTGAACAATTAGTTGAAAATCACACTATCACCACTCGCTCTCTCTTTCTCTTTATCTCTGTCTTTCTCTTCTTTGGCCTTGGTTTGTGGGGAAGATTCGGTCACACTAAGAAACTTATTAGATTTTACTCTGATCCATTTCTCATTATTCAAACACCAGTTGATAACAATCAGGTGTTCGATTTGTACTTCTGTAGTTTACTTGAAGTCTGACTGGCAATATTGTGATTGGCCGCGGTGGAATTTCTGTGGATTTGGTGAAATTGGAATCGTTAGAAAGAAAACTGAGGAACCGATCATTCACTTGGCAAAATGAAGTTTATGAAACTTGGATCCAAGCCTGATTCATTTCAGACCGAGGGAGACAATATTAGGTGAGCTCAAGATTTTTCTCTGCTTCTGTGAGGAGCTACTAATTTTTTTTTTCATTGGGTATGTGTTTCAGTGTGTTATTGACCTTTATCATTCACAGTCCCACTGAGATTGTCTGTTCCCAACCACGTTTCCTGTTTCACATGCATAAGTTTTTTGAGGATGTGATGCCTCTGAGCTCTATCATTTCTATGAATGATCAATCTGAAAAAGTAAGGGCATCTTCAATGCCAAGAATGTCAAACTTCCTCTGAGAAATGGTAAAGTTAGGATAATATCCAGATCAGCCGTCCAAGGTCATAGCGTGGTGGGAACAGAGCTGCACAATGGCTTTTTATCTCTAATGCTTTAGGGCATGTTTGGCTTCTTAAGCAATATTCTGTTAGCTTGGTAGCAATTTGTTCGTTTTTGGTACAAATGCTAAAGCAATGTGTTCTTTTCCTTCTACTTCTGGAGGAGGAACTTGACAATTGAAAAATTCGTTTTTATTATTACAAATCTAGCTTCTGTCAAGCCATCAATTTTCAAGTATCACAATAAAACATAATTTCCGTATATTAACTTACCCTTTCAAGTGTAAACTTGTCTTTATGTAGCTACATAGTATGAAGTGGAGCAATTTGATTTCTCTTTCATTTTTCTAGTTTTAAATCTTACCATTTTTAACCTTTAAAACCATTAGGTATGTTTCGCCTGGTATTTTTATTTGTAACTTTTTAAAGAAAAATTTAGTAAAAAAAAACATATATTTTGTCATTTTGTCCATAAGTTTTAGCTTTTGTGTCAAATTTAAAATGTGTGAATCTATTATACTTTCTTTATATTTGCATGAATAAGTGTAACTCTTCTTTTCCCCTTTTAGTAATTACGTTAAGCTACTATCAGAACCTGTTAAATACACTTAGTAGCAAAAATTTATCATTGTATACTAGGGGAGGTATCTTTATCATTGAGTATATTGAATATATAGAATTTCATAATCGTTATCATATAAACAAAAGCATCCGTGGTACTACATCTACTTTTTGCAATCCCTGCAATGAATAAGCTGTACTTTTCCTTATTTCCCTTTGTTTTCATGATTCCAAATTAAGTAAACATTTGTCAATTAAGTTTATTGTTAATGTAAATTGAGGACTAGTTTTATGTGCAGGTATGTGGCTACTGAGCTGACAACAGACATAGTTGTTAATGTTGGGGATGTGAAATTCTATCTGCATAAGGTATGAAACTCGTATGACCTAGAACAAGATGCTAAACCTTGATTAAATTTACTATGCATTAACATAGATAAAATAACAGGTCAATAGTAATTGAACTCTACAATTTAATAATGTTTAGTACATGTGTGTTACTTATCCAGATATATCTGCTTCTACTCTTGTGTTCTTCACATGTTAAATGCCATTCAGAAGTAGGGAACTGAGACCTAGAGTTGATCAGTCTCTTTAGACAGTTGTCAACAATCAATTGCAGGTCACGGCCATTCAGTACATGTCTGTTGATAGTCTGACCTACTTGGCCAATTTCAGAAAGATTAACATAATATTATCATTTGGCACGCTTTCTATTGGTGATAATGGGTTTTGGTCATTACTAAGATTGGCAGTATTGTGCAGTTCCCCCTTCTATCTCGGAGTGCACGCTTGCAGAAGTTGGTTGCAACAACAAATGATGATAACAGTGATGAAATTAACATCCAGGATATTCCTGGTGGGCCTGCAGCTTTTGAAATATGTGCCAAGTTCTGTTATGGTATGACAGTCACTCTCAATGCGTACAATGTGGTTGCAGCTCGATGTGCAGCAGAATACCTTGAGATGTTTGAAACAGTTGAAAAGGGCAACCTAATTTACAAAATTGACGTCTTTCTCAGCTCCAGCATCTTCCGTAGCTGGAAAGATTCAATTATTGTTCTTCAGACTACAAGGTCTCTTCTTCCATGGTCTGAGGAACTTAAGATTGTCAGCCACTGTCTTGATTCTATAGCTACCAAGGCTTCAATTGATACTTCCAAGGTGGAATGGTCATATACCTATAACAGGAAAAAATTGCCATCTGAAAATGGGAATGATCCTCTTTGGAATGGTGTTAGAAAACCACAATTGGTTCCAAAGGACTGGTGGGTGGAAGATCTCTGTGAGCTTCATATAGATTTATATAAGAGGGTGATAACAACAATCAAAACAAAAGGAAGAGTTTCTGGTGACATAATTGGAGAGGCCTTGAGTGCGTATGCCATGCGAAGGTTGCCAGGGTTTAGCAAGGGTATGACACAGAATGTTGATGTGACAAAATATAGATCTTTAGCGGAGACCATTCTTTGGCTGTTGCCCACAGAGAGAGGTAGTGTTCCCTGTGGCTTCCTGCTTAAGTTGTTAAGAGCCGCAATTCTATTGGAATGTGGAGAAATGGAAAGAAGAGAGTTGATGAGGAAAATTGGCCACCAGCTAGAGGAGGCTACAGTGGCTGATCTTTTGATCCAAGCTCCACCTGGGGAAACAATAGTATATGATATTGATATGGTGCAATGCCTAGTTGAAGAGTTTGTGACATATGAGCAGACTCAGCAGAGTGCTCAGACTGAGCTTCCTATTGAAAATGAAATACAGGAGATTAGAAGCCCTGCAATAGTAACAGATGCTTCAAAGGTGAAGGTAGCAAAGCTGGTTGATGGCTACCTAGCTGAAGTTGCCCAGGATCCCAACCTACCTATTACAAAATTTGTCAATCTTGCTGAAATCGTGTCAAGTTTCCCAAGACTGTCCCATGATGGACTTTACCGTGCCATTGACATGTATCTGAAGGTAAGCTCCTATTTTTCAAGTATCTTTAAACCAATTAGTGTTCTTTTTTTTTTTTTTCTTTTTTTTTCTTTTTGGTTAATATCAGTGATTCTATCCAAAAGACATACTTTATTTTTCACTATTGACACACTCACTGACAACAATTTGCATATTTATGCTTCTGTTGTTCCTAGATAAAAGTTATGGTCACACTTTCATTTCTAATGGTTACCTTCTATAAAGATTTTTCATGGAGATCGTGGATGATGTTTGCATACACTTGTAGTTGTTGGCATCTCTTTATTAAGGTTTCATTTTGAAATTGATATAGCATTGCAATTATTGGCAGCTAAGATCTCCATTTTCTTTGTACCTACCTCATTCATGACAAGAAACTATCATAACTCTGCTTGCTGTTATCAAAATATAGTTAAGTTTCAGATGCTTAGTCAAGGAGTCAAGGAGTCAAGGACAATAACAGATTTTTTATGGTGCAGGAACACCCTGGGATTAGCAAAAGCGAGAGGAAGAAAATCTGCAGGTTGATGGACTGCAGGAAGTTATCAGCAGAAGCGTGTATGCATGCCGTGCAAAATGAGCGACTTCCCTTGCGAGTGGTTGTGCAAGTCCTCTTCTTTGAGCAGATAAGAGCCTCAACATCGGCTGCTGGCAACAGCACACCTGACCTACCAGGGTCCATGAGGTCTTTACTCCCTGGTGGATCTCATGGGAGCTCACGGTCTACTACAACCAACACTGAGGAGGATTGGGATGCAGTGGCAACAACGGAGGATATAAGGGCTTTGAAGGGGGAGCTTGCAACTCTAAGGTTAGCAGGCGGTGATAAAACCTGGAATGATGGTGCTAAAAATGATGCTGAGAAAGTTGCTGCGGGAAAAATGAAAGGTGTTCTCTTGTCAAAACTCTTTTCAAAGCTCTGGTCAGGCAAAGAAAGAAATGGTGAAATTAGTAGCTCCGACACATCAGGGAGCCCAAGTCCTGGCTCTGCCACCGCAGAGGAAACAAAGTCAACCCCTTCTAGGAGTAGGAGGCATTCAGTATCTTAGATATAAACATGCTCAGGCATGCCTTGTTTGGGCTTGTAAAATGATCTTACATATTTGACCATTAGGAAAAATTAGAAGCCACTGACTTTATCCAGCTGATTCCCCACTGGGATAATTCAGGCAAAAGAGGCATGTCGAAAGGGTTATGGAGAAAAATGCATGTCAGTTAGATATTAACTGTCAATTTTGTCACTGCTGAAGAGATGGAGGTTGTAAGGTATAGATTATTGATCTTGACCTATTCCGAGAGATAGGGTGTGATGTTGAACCACTTTTGCTGTACTAAAATCTAAAGGGAGTGGCAAGTTTCTGCATGTTATATTAGTTGCGTATTGTAGTTTCAAACCGTCACTGACCTGGAGATTATACTTTTCTTAAGCAATATCAGCAGGGTAATTCCGTCTCAAGCTCTGCAACAATCCATATGGTTTTTTCCTGTGCACGTAATTTCATTATATATATAAATAAAAATAAATAACAATTAAAGACTAGTGCAAATCACTTGAATTCAGTCTTCGATTTTTCAGGCGAGTAACTGTATTTGCGCCAATGTCAAACTAAAGACATCTCATTGTTTAATATTTATAAATTTATTATTATTACTAAAAGTTATTCAAGATATATATCTATATAAACACATCTAAGTCTAACATGCTTCGTATACGTATATAATTACCTTATCCAAAAATAAAATAAAATAAAAAATAAAAATGGTATACATATATAAATTCTAACCCCTAAAGAACTCCACTTTTGTTATTGTTTTAAAATGAACATCTCTTCAAATTAATGATTCATAAGCTAAATGGCACAACTACATTCATCAAATTAGGCAAATGAATTTCGGATGCTCTTATATATGATAGAATTAGATAATAATAATCACATTATTTAAAAACTAATTCTAAAATAAAACCCAAGATCTAGCATACGAGGGCATGCCTCTCGTATCTTTGTATATTTTGTCCCATATGTTTCATTCTTACCTTATCCTCCGACCCAAACCACCACCAACCCCCCCCACCACCCCCCCAACAAAAAAAAAAAAAAAAAAAAAAAAAAAAAAAAAAATCTAGCATACAATAACTATGAATTCTAAACTTAGCGATCCACCATTTTCTCTCTTTTTTTTTTAAAAAAAAAAGATCTAGCATACAATAATTATGAATTCTAAACTCAGCGATCCACCATTTTCTCTCTTTTTAGGGTTCTTCTATTTGGAGGAATTTTCAATACAAAAGTTCTGACGACCAATTTTAGACTTTTGTTGCTTTATTTATAGTAGCAAAACTATATAGAGAAGTATATGTGCCTAAACAAAAAAGGAGCCCTTAAAGAAAGAGATAGAAAGAGAAACCTTTCTCTATGTTGGGTGGTCCTCATTCCTTCGCACTACTGTCGCCAGTAGCCGCTTGGGTTTCGACCAGGGCTTTTCTTGGAACTCGAGGCGGTCTTTCGGGTCTAACAGTTTATGAACAGGGTAAGGATGGTTTGGAGGGAGCTGGAGCCAAATCGCAGCTCCGTCGAGTGAGAAAGATGGGTAGTGACTTGCCGAGCCATGTGTCGTCAGGTGAGGGATCGGAAGTTATGGTTATCTCTGAGATTTCTAGTAATGTGAGAAGTGTTGATGGAGCTCATTATGCTGAAAAGGAAGTTCTTTTGTCTATTGTGGATTATGGTGGAAAGGTGCATTCGGGTTGTTTGGTGTCTGAATAGGGGCAAAAAGAGATCTCTGAGCCGATTCTGAATTATGTTGCATTGGAAGTTATAAGGAGTAGGACGTGTATTGTGGTGGATTTGAAAGTCATGGAGGGTGCCTCTTAGCATGTGGGGGGAACTCAATGGTAGTTAAAAGTAATCGGGATTGGTCTTGAAGCCTTTCTGTGAGAAAGTATGGGGAGGCTGTAGGTAATGCTAGTAGGCTAGCTTCCGACAAGATTCCAATTGGGATGCCAAAGGGAAAGGTTAGAGATTCTGATCTCAGCTTGAGAAAAGCTCAATTTGGTGTAGAGGATTCGACTATTGGCTCTTTTGGGCAAGGCAAACAAAATGCTAGTAGGTCGAGATGTGTGACTACAGATGGGTGGGTTGTTTGTGATGATTTGAGTGGGAGAAAAGGGCAAGGTAATTGTGTGACCATGAATCAATTGGATGGATTGTGCACAAGTAGTATTTGGAATTGTATTGGTAGGACGCCAATGTTGTTTGATGGTAGTGTGATTCCAGTGGGGCCTGAGATGGTTTGTCAAGTGAAGGCTAGTTCGGGTGCTGGCCAAGGTAATGCTTATGTGCTTAATGGAAACTTTGTTGTGTACGTTAAGGGGACTGGTAGTATTAATGTTTGCCATGCTGAAAAGGTGGTTGACGTTGGTCCTATTAAGGAGGTGAATCTGGATTCTGGCATGTCTATTGGGCAGAACGGTTCGTGGACGATGGATCATCGCAAAACGAAAAAAAATTAAATTGACTTACTTTTAGCCAACGGTTGAACATGACGGTATTGTTATGGGTTGCCCCCTTCTCTCAGTTGCTCTTGAAGGGAGGAGGAAATGGGAGACTTGCTTGGTTGGCTCTTTTATTGATAAGAAACCTCTGTTCCATGTCGTCCAACATTTTGCAATGAAAATGTGGCAAAGATATGGTCTTAAAGATATTATGTTAAACAATAAGACCTTTTTCTTTTTAAAATTTGAAGATGAGGAGGCTATGTCGAATTGCTTGGAGGATGGGCCTTGGTTGTTTCAGAATAAGCCTATGTTACTACATAAATGGCACCCGAGAATGGAGCTTAATAAAGTGTGTCCCAAATATGTTCCATTATGGGTCAAATTCCATGATGTTCTGATGGAGTTCTGGAGTCTGATTGGTTTGAGCTATATGGCTAGTACGATGGGTAGGCCGATGGCTTTGGACAAGATTACGGAAGAGACGTGCCAAGATAAGCTTGGTTGCATTGGTTTTGCGAAAATCCTCCTTGAAGTTGATACATCACGAAAATTGCCGGAAATGATTAGAATGAGGATGCCCTTGGACAAAAACAGTGAACAGAAACCCATGGAAGTTAGGGTGGATTACCAATGAAGGCTTTCTTAATGTGGGAGGTGTTTAGTTTTTAGGCATGCGGATAACACGTCTGTATTTTCAGAAGCCATTGGAAAAAAGTCCTGTTGGGGTTGTATCTTTTGAAGTTGAGAGGGATGGGTTTACAAAGGTTGTCCGTAAAGGTAAAGGTAAGGTGTCGATCAGCTCCAACACCAACTCTCCTACCATGTCAACTGTCCAATCCAATGGCCTTAAGAGGCACTAAGCGGTTTGGAATGGGGCTTCAAATGGTGTTTCGTCTATTTCTCCTTCACCCATTCAAAAAATCAACTCTTAAAAAGACAAATCAGTCCGCCTAATTAAGTGGAAGAAAGGTATTTGTTTGGGAAATGCTTGCTATGGAACCAGGGACTAAAGGGGAGCTGATGATTGAAGAGCAAGCTTTGGTTTCTTTGGTTGAAAAAGGGATGGATGAGGATTGTGAGATGGGTTCTGAGGCTTCAAATGTTGATTTAGACTTGGCTTCGATGTTTGATTATGAAAGCTAAACATCTTGCACTTTGTGCCTTGTTGGAGACCCGTGCGGCGGCTCCAAATGTTAATTGTATCTTTGATGGTGTTTTCCATAGGTGGAAATTGGGTCTCTAATGTTTATTGTGGTTCTAAGGGTAGCAGAATTGTTATAGGGTGAGATGACCGATCAAGTCATCCATTGTTTTATGAAGGATATTAATGATGAGGATGAGTTTCATGCTTCTTTTGTGTATGTTGAGAATGATCATATGAAGAGACTCGAGCTGTTGGATTTTGTAAGAAGTCATAAAATTGGGGTAAGGGTTTTTCCTTGGACTATCATTGGTGATTTTAATTCTACACTTCATCTTTGTGAAAGTTTGGGAGGTTTTTCTTCGGTTTCTTTGGGGATGACTGATTTCCATGAGTGTGTTGAAGATTTAGAAGTTAATGATCTTAATCAAGCAAGTCTTATGTTTACATGGAGTGAGAAACCTCATGGGAATAATGGTGTCCCTAAAAAGCTCAACCAAGTGATGGGTAATTGCCGTTTGTTGCCAAGTTTCCTAGAGTGAACTCTTTCTTCTGGCCCCCAGGTTTGAGCGACCACAGACCTTTGGTTATGTCTTTCCCAAAGTTTTGCTCTTTCAAGCTCCACCCGTTCAAGTTCCTCAACTACTTGGTTCACACACTTGAGTTTAAGGGTATTGGTCAAAAGGCTTGGGCCTGTTCTATTCCACGAGTCCCCATGTTCTTTGTGGTAAGCAAGCTAAAGTCTCTCAAGCCATTTTTCAGGGCTTTAAACAAGAAATAAGGTCACATTAGTAGGAAATGTTGAAATTTTGAGAAATGAAGTGAGACTCTTCACAGTGCTCTTGATCGTGATCCTAATAATAGAGAGATTCATGATCTTGAGGTGGTGTTCTCTTCGGCGATTAGAGAGGCCCTTTTTAATGAGGAGAGGTTCCTTTAGTTGAAATCCAAGGTGTACTGGCTAAGTGTTGGAGACTAAAATTCGGCCTTTTTTCCACAAGTCTCTTCAGTCTGCTCAAAGTGTTAGAAGAATTGATAAGGTCCTCTCTGATTTTGGTGTTTTGTTGGAGCATAGGGATTTGGCGGGAACTTTTCTGAGTTTTTACAAGAATCTCTTAGGTTCAGCGTTTCCTGTGGCCAATATGGAAGGTCTGGATGATATGTTCCCTAACTAGATTTCTGATGAGCATTGTTCTAGTATGATCTGTAAGGAATTGATGAACCAAAACGTAGCAAAAAAAACAATATTAAAATTAATTAATCAATTCCTTTTCAACTTCCCATGATCCGGGCATTGATTATATTGTTTACACACATTAAAAACACAATTAAAATCATACAAGGTTTCAGATTCTCACTAATGTTGGAGGCTCCACCAAATTGAATCTCTTCACAAATCAATTCAAGAACAGAGTTGCACGAACGATATCCATACAAAAGCAGCCCAAATCCAATCAAGATAATTCGATTTCTAGATCGAATGATGAAATTGCAACTGAGAGCATTTTAGAGAGAGAGGGTGGACGGTTAGGGTTCAAAGTTTTTAACAGTTTTCAATAAACTCTCACACAACCCTAACATAAGTGTGTTTATATATGCACAGTTAAAATCCTATTCCAAGTAGGAATAGGTTTATATCCTTATTCCAAAATGGAATAAAATCCAATTCTATTCCATATAAGAACATAATAAAAGTAGGTATTTTATTATAATTATTTTAATTTTGTAATTTTACTAATTCTATTTCATAAAGAAATAGATATAGGCAACAACCTTATAATTAAATAAAATACCTTTTCGACCAAAATGACCAAAATAC